GCGTATATTTGTTTTTTTCAAACAAACCGTTTGAAAAAATAAATAATAGTTTGTTTTTTCAGTCAACCGTGACCATGGGACCTGTAAAAGGCCCGAAACGTCGGTTTATTTGAAGAAACAAATGTACGCGATTTAAATCCGGAAAAAAATTGTTTTATTTCCTAAATACAATAGAAATATTAGTTTGACAGAAGGTGTTCAAAGATGGACTTGTCTCTAAAAGAGATCTCGTCCAGCCAACTCAGGGCAGTGAAAACTAAGGTTATAAGCGGGCCATAAGGTGCAAGAGAGAATGAGAAATAAATATAATAAACTACATAAATTAAAAAAAATACCGTTACTTACATAAGTATTATAATTAATTATAATAAATAGCATCAATATACATACACTTGTAAAGAAATAGGATTTCTGTGACGTTTCCTTTGACATTCGTCGGCAAACGAATGGTGACTCATAAAAATGATGTCGGTGTTTGGTAGTGAATAATTGTATTAATAAGAAAAAGAATCGACAATCTTTAAATAAACTTTAAATGTTGTTTCTTCATTTCAGGTAAGATAGAACATTAAGTACTGTAGTTTGCAGGTTTAGAGAACTATAAACGTAAACTTATGCTAATAAGAAACTTTATTTCAAAGCAACACATTAAGTTTATTGCCGATTCCCCGTTCCCAACAACCCTGAGAAATTGTCTTATAAAACGATATTTAAAGATTATATACACCTACATCATTTTTAAAGGTCACTATTCGTTTACCGACGATTGTAAAAGGAAACATCACAGAAATCCTATTTCTTTACACACATAAATATATACATAGGTACATAAATATATATTATGTAAACAAAATGTATTTAGGCAAAAATACTTGTCTTTCTTTACCTATACTTTTTCACAAGTCTTTTAAAACATCGCATATTTGATAATTAGAGGTTATGTCAAGTCTAGTGGACTGGTTACACGCTAATGTCATACGTGCTGACATTTGACGCCTGTCTCTCGCTGGGGTAGACAAATACAATGGACCTCCAAATGACATTCCTTTAGTAGTAGCAGTAGAGCTCCTTGTAAAAGAGTTCGTCCTGGTAAGTACTGCCACTTTACCTGTTTCTGCCGCCAAGCAGTAATGTCAGCATGTGAAGCTCAGAGTGGCACTTCAAGTGTTATGTCAAGTGGTATCATGACTGTGGCATCATAGTACATTTACTCAAATATTTTATATGCCCGTAAAAATATACATAATTTCAATAAGAAAGAAGATATCCATAATATTAACCTTAGAGCTAAGTCCAAACTCATGGTACCACGATTTCGTTTAACCAAGGTAAACAACTCTTTTATGGGGAACTGTATACGTTTTTGCAATAAGATTCCGGAGCATATATTAAGTTTATCGTTTCCTAAGTTTAAAAACTACATTAAAAATATTTTGATCGAAAAATCATATCACAAAATTGAAGACTACGTGTTAGATAAAGATGTATGGAAAGACGACATGGCTCCAGACTCCACACAAATTTGATTCAAAGTGTATTCCATTTTAATTAAGTTTATTTGAAAAGAGCAATCCCTGGAGTTTCTTGCTCGTTCTTCTCAGGGAGGTCAGCGTAGTGAACGAGCAGTAGCTTAAATGTGACGATTTCAAGTGTAAATTTATTTTACCTATGGAATAAATAATCTTTGACTTTGACTTTGACTATGAACAGGCGTATGAACAGCTTATGCGCACGACTTGTTTGTCCCGTCATTTGATCTTCTTCTTCCTGTCCTTATCTCACGCTAGATGGGATCAGCACAACATGTATTTTTCTTTCACTCTCCCCTATCAGAAGTCATTTTTATATTCACACCTTTCTCATCCATGTCATCTTTCACACAATCTATCCAGCTTTTCTTTGGCCTTCCTTTTCCCTTACATCCTTCCACATTCATATCTAACACTCTTCTCGTCACATGACATTCTTCCCTCCACATGACATGTCCGTACCAAACTAACCTATATCTCCTCATTTTTTCCGTCACTGGCGCCACTTTCAAACTTCCCCGTCACTTGATATTATAAAAAAAGAAAAAATCTCTTTCGCTTCTTCCACTCGTATATCTTTCAATATACGTCCGTTCATTCTCGTTAACGACCTTTTTTGGAGCCGCGGTAGCCTTATTTATGTGCGCGATTTAATTTGAAATTTGCCATGACCTTTTTAGTGAAGGAAAACATCGTAAGGATGCCTGCACACTTTGGAAAAGCAATTTAATCATGTGGGTGAAATTCCCTATCCGAATTGAGCCCGCGTGGGAACTACAACCCAAGCTCTCATTGTGAGATAAGGCCTGTTATTATCATAACGGCCTTTTTAAGGACATCCTCCGTCTGGTTGAGATATCTACGCTAAGGTCGACCTTTCCCCACGTTTATATCCAGATTAATTATTAATAACTAACTGAAGGACTGCTAATCTCCATACTACAGATTGTCAAAATTCCGTCTTACAACTAGCTGACGCTGATCAATAACCTGGAAGTAGTTCATATTATGTAAATGGCAGTGGATATCTATTAATTCATCTTTAACATGAAATAGAAGAAATCTAAATATTGATTAATCACGGGCCAAAATGATTTTAAAAATTTTGTGTCAGTACATTTTTTTTTAATCTTCATTTATTTAGGGGCTTTTTAGGGGCTACATCAAGAACACACTTAATAAAATCCAGACAGATAAATTAAAATATTACCTAACTAAACATGTACACAAAATCGCCGCGGCTCTGCATGTAGGCTTCGACAAAACAGATTGAAACTTACAACATTAATGCTCTGGCCACACAGAGGCGGCCGCGGAAGCGTTCCGGGCGCGGGATTTTTTGTAATGTACCAGTTCTTATGAACCCTGCCACACTGAAAGGCACGGCGGCCGCGGGGCGAGGCGGCGCGGTGCGGGGCCGCACGCCATGACAAACAGGCAGAGCGGGCGCGGGCCGCGGCCGCGGCGTCCGCGTGGCGGGTGCGGTCGCGGGTGTTGTAATACATTGAGTTCTATGCAACTGTTCACACAGCGCGTCAGTGGCGGGGCGCGATCCCGGAGCGGGGCTTCAGCGGGCTTGGACGTTGTATTTTTTTACAACTAGGGAATGTGTTTTAATTGATTTTAATCAAGTTTCAAGATGAATTCGACGGAAAAACTTATATCATTGGTGCAATCATACCCCAGTTTATTTAATACAAGTGATAGAAATTATAAAAACATAGAAATTATTTGGGAAACAATTCCAAGGAGCTAAATCAAGATCGTGAGTATATTTTTTATGATGGTTTTTAATAATTATTAAAATAATTGCCAAATTTTTCTCTGATTTCAATTGCATAATCAGACGATCTTTGATTTGTACGAATTGGAAGTAGTTCATTGGCCTCAACTGGTTGAGAATCGCTCTGTTGAACCGCATTGTTACCGTTCTTACTTTAATGAAATTGTGTAAACAACACGTGCCTTTGACAACTTATATTGTCGTTTCAATATCATATTGCATGAGACGTCTATAGACTTGCCATTTCTGTGTTAGCTGGCCGAATACGTTGTGGAAAACGTCTCCCTCCATCAATAACAATCAACTGTGAGATACCTCTTCTCTTCTCTAAGAAAAAAACATGACGCCGTAGATTATCTGTTCATTAGTTATGCAGAAACATTTAAAAAACTGAAACCCACAATTCAAGTCGAAATCAAATTGAAACTTGCACACATTTTTACAGAAGCTGAACTGAACGACCTAGAAGAAAATCAAATTTCAGTAGCACCGGTACAATCTCCTTAATTTACCGTAATTAGCACAACAAGTAATAACGATCAAGAAAGTATCCCAGTTTCATTGCAACTAATTCCTGAAGACTTGTGTTTCCCATTATGGTACCTGTAATATAGTTGATGACTAAACTACACAGGGTAATTCCAAAAGGTATGGTACTGAATTAATGCTGTGATAACATAATAAAATGTAATAAGAAATGATGAATGCTAATTTAATAAACAAAAAGTTAAATAAATAAACAGTTAAGTTTAATAAATAGCAACCAAGGAGTTTTATAATTTTTATTAGAGTATTGAATGGTCTACAAAACACTTTTTGTTTGAATAAGTTTGCATTGTTAGTTCTGAGATGTTGATTTTTATGTTAGTGACTCGGATTCATTGCTCCCGAGTGTATAAGCAGGTATATAAGTTAAGTATAATTGCAATTATGCATTGTTCATAATAATTTAAGTAGGTACATAAAATTAAATAGAATTGTTGTTGATTCTACAAATCTTAGATGCCTGTTATTTGTTAAAATAAAAAATCATGGGCCGTAGGAAGCCAGCATTAGACTGATAGTAAAAGAAGTTTGAATTAATTGTGTTAAGATTGTTGATTGTTCATAATAATGTAACTTTCGATAGGGACCTATTAATTATTTGTTAAAATAAAAATGCCCAGCGAGTTTGTTAGAAATAGAAGTTTTAAGTTAACTATGTTAAAATTGCTCAAAATAATATAAGTAGGTACATAAGTTAAATACAATTGTTGTTACATAAATCTTAGATAGATACATATTATTAGTTGAAATAAAAACGCCCAGGGAGACTGCTACAAAAAGAAGTTTCAAGTTAATTTCAATTGCAATTCAAAATAATCAGATGACAAATAATTTGTCAAAATAAAAATGCCCAGTGAGACAGATAGAAAAAGAAGTTTCAAGTTAACTATGTTAAGATTGTTCAAAATAATGCACTTCTGTAGATACATAACTTAAACAAAATAGTTGGTGTTATACAAATCTTAGATAGGTACTTATTATTTATTAAAATAAAAATGCCCATTTGGACTGATAGAAAAAGAAGTTTCAAGTTAATTACGTATATAGATTGTTAATAATAAAGTAAGTAGGTACAGTAGTTAAATGCAATTATTATTGTTGATTCTACAAATCTTATATACCTATTATTTGTTATAATGAAAATGCCCAGTGAGTCTCACTGAAAAAATAGTTTCAAGTTAATTTTGTTAAGATTATAGAATTTTTTTAATGTTTTTAAATAAACAATTTCTGTTCATATGAATAGTTTGATTCAAATCCTTCAAAGTAAGTATACAGAGTGTCCCAAAACTCAACGATAACCTGGGAACAGAATGTTGCCTAGTTTGTAACTACCCAGAAAAAAATATTTAAAAAATCGGAGTCATTTTCTTTTTGTAATATAAGCATTTTAATGAAAAATGTTGAAAATGTACCCCCTGTACCCCATTTTTAAGTACTACAATTACAAATTTGCTAATTTTGCTGTTCTAGTTTTTGTAACGGTAACCGGAAACAGCCCAGCTAATGAGCACAATGCCAAAGAAAGCCCGAATTACTCTAGTACACTTTAGTTTCAGCACTAAAAAAATATGTATTTAATTTTTTCTTTAAATTTTTAGCAGATTTTTTTTCAAGGTAACTTTAACACCCCATACAAAAGTTTAAAGATGTTCTTCTACATCACTATCCGATAGTGACATGGACCTTTCTTTATTTGTGTTGAAAATGAAATGTGGCGTGACGCTTTTGGTGTCACACCGGCCGCCTCCGTGCCGCTGTCCCGTCACGAACTACACTCGGGATTGCTGTGTGGCATGCCCCGGCACGCATTCGCTTCCCGCAGGTCCGCCCCCGAAACGCTTTTCCCGCTATACCGCGTCTGTGTGGCCTGACCTTAAATGTACGGAGACCACCAGCCTGTGCAAATAGCCGCGCCCTAATAGGTTCCGTCCGAACTCACTCCTTGAGCAAATGATAGACTTGATGTATAGAATAGAATATAATTATTTATTTCATATTATCAATTTCATAATATTATAATTCGAAACATAATGTCAAGGGATAACATGGTCGTCATTCATCTGAACAATAATTTTATTGTTAATATAATATAAAATAACTAAAAGAAAAATAAAGAAAAATACGATCTACAAAAAAAAATAAAAATTAAATTCGAAATACAGACTCCAAAATTAAAATATAATTACAATTTCTTTAAAAGAAATTCCTCTACACTGTAGAATTCATCACCCAATAAAAGGTCTTTCATTCGGGAACAAAACACTTCGTCATTTGTAACAATGTTTCATAAACTAATTTATAAGTTAACGCATCCTAATATGAGTAGATGGCGCCAATCCTAAACAAAATAAAAGAAAAGTCGGCACTATCTATAAAAATCTGTGCAATAAGCGCCATCTAGTTGATTTGTTTGTTATCAGTAGAAATTAGATTAGCTTTGTTTTTTTTTTAATTTATTGCTGGCCATGGAAACAAAGTCCTTCAGCCGAAAACATAAACGTTTAATTATATTTCTGTAAATATGGTCACCACAAAGAGGATAGGTAATTTGAGGCGGCGTGCTTGGATTGACTCGGGATTCCTTAGAAAGGGCCGATACGGGTTTAGTTCGAGATTCGTATAATTTCGCGTTTTAATCTTCGATTAAGGCACAATAACACTATCCTATTCGACTTTAAACTAGATTTCACGAAATAATTGAAAGTCAAAATAAAAACGACACTTTTCCCTCCAAAAGGCCCAGAGCGAATCCGATTAGCTTTGATAAATTGCGACTTGCCAATGTAAAAAAAAATTAGTTACAAAATTACTACCAATAAATACTAAAAACCCGACTATTATTGTATCGCGATTAATCCATGATATAAAGATCTAAATGCTTTTGCCGTTATTGTACAATATCAACAAAAACAACAACAATGCATTATGTACTTAAATTATATGAAAGTTCTTGCAATTACTTTGCCGAAAATGCTCTTGTCGTACCAAAAAAGGTGGTCGGATACATTCCCAGGTTTTTTTAAACTTATATCCGGCGGTTGCATTAACACTTGCATTCTTGTATTTTCATGAATGTTTTTTCGGTAATCAAAAACCTGTAATTTATGAATTAACTGCATTGGTGTTGACCATTTATGTTTGTGGTGTTGTCATTATAAACCTGGCACTCATTTGTAACAGCATACATTTATACAGCGAATGAAATGCAGGCAGTGATTGTATCAACGCTGCACTAGGTTTCTTCACGTTTGGATTCCATTTTCCATTTTGTGGAATTTAGTCACCTACCTATCATGTATAAAAAATTAAGAAACCTTGCGCTACTAGGAAGAGACATTAAATAATGCTCTGGCCATACAGAGGCAGTAGCGGGTCTTTGGGCTTACCAAGCTTGCGTGTTTTATTTTTTACAACCTTTATACCCGGGAAGTCTGCCTGTGCAGATGTACCTGCGCAGGTAAACCGGAACGTGTGTTGGAACATACCTGTACAGTTTAGTGGACCTGCGCAGGTAAACAGGAACGTGTGGTGGAACACACCTGTGCAGTTTAGTATACCTGCACAGGTAGACATCTCCGGTAGACCGTAACGTGTAAGGCCGCCATTAAGTGTTTTCATTAAATTTTAATATGAATTCGGCTGAAAAAGTTCTCGCATGGCTAATGTCGTGCACTCGATAAATCGAGTGCTTTGCGTTGTTTCGTAACACTAATTAAAGCAGAAGTTTTTCTTGATTACTATCCGATAGCGATATGGAGCTTTCTTTAAAATCTCTATACAAAATGCAACATGGCTGCTTCTGATGTCACACCGTCTGTTGTCACGTTGCAAACTAGCTACCTGTACCATGTCTGTGTGGCCAGACTTAAAAGGTTTTAGGAATTATTTAAAAAAAGATTTACTACGCGTAGTCAAAACAACAAACGAAAGAATAACAAAGTGTACTGGTTCCTTAAAACACAGCTCTTCTCCACTGCCCTGATTGTGCTGACTTAAGCTATAATAATAGCAAAGTGATCCCAATGTGCAATATTACATCAATTATAATTTTGTAACATGAGTTAACGTAATATTACAGCATTCGCAGTTAACCGATTTGAGTGAAGCAACATGAACATTATACTTAAATCCAACCAACCGGTTAAGTTTAATGTAAAGCTATAAGATGATCAATGAAATTAATCTCATCTAATTAGGTTATCACACTTTACACATTTTTTTGCTTAAGGCGAACCGGTACCATGGTGAAACCTACGCAAGGCTTTGCGTGTTAAGAAGACGCGGAGAGTAATTTTAAATATTTTGTTTTTCTACCGACAACTACTTTGTTTTTTTTCTTTTTTATAATATCAAGTGACAGGACGAACAAGTCGTGTGCCTGATAGACAGCGACACGTCTGTCCACAACAGTTGCAGCGACTCTCAGAGCTTTAAATCAAAGAACTGGGGGTCTGAACTGTAATTTCATCAGAACCCTTACCCTTCGAAACCGGAACGCAATAATCCTCACCTATATGAAGTAAGAACACGTAAAACAAACTACGTATGTTCGATTCAATAAAATCTTAACAATTTACCTCGACCTGCTCTTGTCGAATAATGTCATCCACCAGGGTCGTTTCTTTTGCTTTTTTAGTACGTTGGAACCATTGCATAATGTAAATGTGGCTGCAGAAATAGCTATGCTAATATGTATGACATTTTCCAACGGTAGTTCAAATCAGATTAAGGTTTCAATACACACCCGAATACGCGCCACCACGCGCCGCAAAAAGGCGACCACGGGCCTCTACGCGCTCTCTTGACGGCCCTGTTCCCACGGCGCGTTTGCGCATTTAAAACGGGGCATGGGAAGCCGCCATTAGAAAGCTTTCAGTATCCTTCTCTTACATATAAATTTCCTCAGAAACAAACCGCGAATTTCTCAACAGTTCCGCACCTCGTTATGTCTAATGTCACTCGCCCATTATTCGGCTTAACTCAACTTAAGACCATTAACTTACCCATTAGTGTAATAGCTTGAACCACGGCCATGACTTAGGTTGCTTCATGTTCACAGCTGCAATTACATAGATTTATTTCCATGCTTTCATTCGTACGCATCTGAGGAAGGTGTTTACTTGCAACTAATAAATCAATTTAAATTAATCTTACAACGATTATTTTTATCCAGTTCTTATGTTTCCGGGATTGTCACATATTGGGAATTAAACTTTTTTCTCGGATCTAAATTTGTGGGACCTCTGAAGAGCCCGAAACGTTAAAAAAACAAATATACGATTTTCCGTAGCAATTGCATTGCCACTCAGATCTAGTTAAGATTTAAGCACCTAATTACGTTTTGAGTTTCTTAATTATTTATTACCATTTTAAACCGATGATTCTGTACCCAATGCTCAATAAATAATTATAGTTACATTACAAGTTTTAATAAGTGTTATTATGTTTTGAGTTTTTTTTTATAATCTCAAATGACAGGACGAACAAGTCGTGCGCCTGGTGTTAAGTAACACGCCTGTCTACAACAGTTGCAGTGTCACTTAGAACTTTAAAACGCAAAGATCGGAGCATGCCACTGCGCCCGTCACCCTGAGATACACATAAGTTGACAAGTCCAAAACGTCTGTAATTTCACCAGCACTTTCCTCCCTATACTCATGTTATATACCCTTTTTTATTAAACAAATAAGTGTGCATTTGGCTTCCATCTCACCTGATGAAAACTGACATAATACCTATTCACTCTCGCCTTAAAAAAGTCCAAGTGGTAACGTTCAGGGAACAAGTCTGCAGGCAGGGAATTCCACTCCATAGCCGTTCGCCATATAAATGTGGAAGCGTAACGCTTCGTGCGAATCTTTGGAATATCCACAACATAGGCGTGGAACCCCAGCATACGCCTGGTCCCCCGATGATAGAAAGGGGAAGGCGGTATTAATTCGTGGAATTCCCTCGCACGCTGATATATCCTGTAGCACAAGTCTTGCCCAGAGGTTTTATTGCTGTCTTGGCAGTCGATTACATAATAAAATCAATAACAGCACAACAATATATCACCTGCCAAGAACCAGCTGTAAGCGAGCAGTGGTAAAGTGGCTTAAGTCCTTAACTATGACAAGACTGAAAACCTTTTGCATTCCACGTTA